CAGAATAAATTCTATTAGGGCTGCTCGTGAATAACACTGCTTGGCCGCTTCCTATGAATCGCTAGTGGAGGGTTGGCCAATCCTACTCCATACCTTGAAAAAGTGGGTGGCTCGTGGTGTTCTACGAAACAAATATTGTTTGGTGGTTTTTTAAGAGGACACCGACGCCATCTTGGGGGATCCTTTAAACAGTTCCACACCCAAGTGAAGATCAGAGCCAATTAATCATTTTCATGCTTGGATGCTGCCTCACTCACTGGCTTCCGTATCAGTCGTTGCACACAACCAAGACCTGTGTCGCGCGATGGACTCAATGGGGTCCCATAAGCTCGGGGGATATGTGTCGGACACGAGGCCTACGGATGACGCGAACAGAAGAGGTCTTTCATCATGTTTCCTTAATCAACTAACTGATTTACAATTTTCAAAACACATTTCACCAGACAATTCCGAATGTGATTGTTTGAAAAAAATCTACAACCCAGAGGCTCCCGATTGATTTAGGGCCTTCAAACAACCTGGTTTTGAGACCCCCAACCATCTCCGGGGTGTCTAATGGAGGGGGTCGCGGATTCGCATCGAATCGAAGATATGCAGAAGAGCGTCAACCAAAGCGGCAACGACCTCCAGTCCTGGCAAAAACTTGCTCGAGCTGCGTGCAGGTAGTTCTTGTTCTTGCTGCTGTCCCTGCTTCTTTTGATGGGGGAATGAGGGGGAGGGAGGGGAGGGGGACTTATTAAGTCCCTAATAAGGCCTTATTTGCGGCTTATTGAGGCTCCCTCCCCCCCTCTCCCTCCCCCCCAGCCCCCATGATCTGTTGTACAGATTGTTTTTTTGTTTATTATTATTATCCTGGTCAACTATCTGCTGTGAGTGGTTTATCGTGCATGCATCCCAGCTCAGTTGGATGTTTTCCGTTACTCCAAACAAAGCATTCGCACTCCCGCGAATGCTTTGGTTCTTCGCTGCTCGTGCCGCTTGTTCGCTCCTTGTACTCGCAGCGCCCGTAGTTGCATTGGTCATAGTCCCAAATGAAGCGCTGCCGGCCTCAGGAAAGAGACCGGTATTTTTCTCTATCAAAATATTGGACACAAGCAAAACCATTGGTTAATTTGGTAAGTCCAGTGGAGTGGAGCTTCACACGGTTCAGAGATCATGTGAGCCACAAAGATCCGGATTTGTTCCTCAAATTGCGCAACAGGACCCTTGGTTCTGTGGGAAAGTGTTCATGGTCTCCCCTCACCCGCGTCTTAAATCCTTTCATTGGATCATTGGCATTGAAGAAGCCTTTGCACCCTCCATGCGAGGTGCCTATGTCTGATACCCCGCTGGGTAGTTTCAAAGGGGTCCAATGTCAAACCCCGAAGGGTTGCATCACGACGGCCAGTGAACATGTCCTTATGTGAGCGAGTGGCAAACCGATTTCGAATGGGAGGTGTCGCTTCTGGGGTTCATTGATTCCTGAAGGTTTCTGACACTTGTCTCTTGGGGTTTCACTAAATCACCGAAGACATATCTCTCTCATCTCGCAAAGAAAATACCGAATCTAAACTACCCCTTACACCCAATACCCTCTCTTTTTTAGGGTATGATGTCGACTCTCTACTAAAAAGGAGGTATTTACCATGGAAACCCAGGTTTTTCAAGAAAAATACCCCCAAGAAAACCGTGGGTGTTTGGAGTAGGGGGTTAGTTTCCCTGCGGAGAACTCCAAAGATCACGTTCTTAGGCTATGAAATGGTTTTACACCCAGAGGCTCCAATCGAATCCGGGTTTTGAGAATTCTCGGGTCCCAACCACCGATTCCTGGGGTGTCTGCTTCGGGGTCGGGTCTTCCATAAGCCGAAGCCGATCGGAGCCTCTGGGCAGACGGTTCAAACGCTTGGTGGGACGAACTGAAGCCTGCAGCATCGAAAATCCGTGAAACGCGTAATCAGCAAGCCGCTAATCGTTGGGGATTCGGTTCAACAAGCTAGCCAGGTGCCTTGACACAGGGTTTTTGCTTTGACACTAAAATTGTGTCACCTTCAACAAACGGGTAAAACCGTCGATCTTCAACCCCTTCACCATTTCTCAAGCAAAGCCCAAGGCCAAATGCTTGACCGCGCTGTCCGCAGATCCCCCGCTAAAGGTTTAACTTTTAGTGGGTTACATGGAAATCCAAGCACTAAACACTAAAAGGCTAAAAGAAGCGAAGAAACCGGATGGCTGGGAGCCGCCAAGAAACGGTAAAACCGTCGTTCTTCAAGCCCTCAACCATTTCTGGTCCACAAGCAAAGCTCGAGGCCAAATGGTTTGAGTGGACCAGGGCGCTGGCACTGCCGACACGTGAGAAAGTTGTCGACCTCAAACACGAGACACGCCTTCCACACGCTCAAGTGTATGTGGCAGGGCCCGGGTATTTACGAGCCATTTTCTGGTAGTTTAAGGGTTCCTGTCAATCAATCAATCCAATCCAATCCAATCCAATCCAATCCAATCCAATCCAATCCAATCCAATCCAATCCAATCCATCCCATCAATAAATTAATCAACCAATCGATCAAGCAATCAATCAATCAACCAACGAACCAATCAACCAATCAATCAAGCAAGAAAGCAAGAAAGCGAGAGAGCAAGAAAGCAAGAAAGCAAGAAAGCAAGAAAGAAAGCAAGAAAGCAAGAAAGCAAGAAAGCAAGAAAGCAAGAAAGAAAGCAAGAAAGCAAGAAAGCAAGAAAGCCAGAAAGCCAGAAAGCCAGAAAGCAAGAAAGCAAGAAAGCAAGAAAGCAAGAAAGTAAGAAAGCAAGAAAGCAAGAAAGCAAGAAAGCAAGAAACCACAAAAGCAAGAAAGCAAGAAAGCAAGAACGCAAGCAAGCAACGAAAGCAAGCAAGCAAGCAAGCAAGCAAGCCAGCCAGCCAGCCAGCCAGCAAGCCAGCAAGCAAGCAAGCAAGGAAACACACACACACCAAACAAACAACACGTAAACCGAACATAGATTAGTTTCACCCGCGGGCATCTGAATAAGTGGGTTGACCGAATCCTGAGAGGAAGTCGTAGAGTGGACTAAGATGCTCCGCATTCGTCCGCACCAGCTTCATAGAGCTGCAGAACACAATCTTCACATCATGGCCCTTTGCAAATCCAAACAGAAAATAGGCGAAGCAGAAGAGGTTAAGAAAATGAACGAACCTAGACGCCTTGCCCACATGTCCCAAATCCCTTAAGGCATGTCAGAAGGACGCTTGGACACGACGCATGTGGGATTTGTGCAAGCCAAACCTTGAGCAAATGGACTTGACAGGGGGCCTGAAACCGGGCGTGCCTCTAAACCCAGAAAAAGCTTGGTTTCCTTTTGGCTTCCTTATAAAACCGACCAACAGCGTATCAGAACACCATGTTGGCTGCCCCACGACCAAAACGGGCCCTCATTTTTGTGGGACTCCGCTCAAATGTCACTTCCTGAGTTGATGGGCCACAAAACGTCCCAAAACTTTCTATTTACCAATAGACTGGTCTTCCCAAAAAACAATCAAGTCCAACCCGATCGAACATGAGCAACAAATAAGTGTTCTTGCCAAAAAGTGACTGCAGGTCGAAGCCGTACGGAAGTGAGGCGGCCATGGGTCAAAAGCCCGTACCCCCAAGTGAACATCCCAATCCCCCACTAGACTTAAATGGGTAGGCACCACCCAACGGCTACTCGGCTCCTCGGCTCGGTTCGCCTCGGTCCCCGGGCGAAGGTGCGCACGAAGGCCTGCGCTTCCCGGATGCCCAGCTCCACGGTCACCGGCAGCGCCTCGCTTCGGCGCTCGCGAATGCTCGCGATCTTCGGCGGCGCATGGCGTGCTCCGCTTTTCGGTGGCCCAAGAAAAACGGCCACCCAAAAAAGTGGGGGACGACTTTTTTGGGAGAGAGCTCAATAAAACTTGCGATTTTTGGGGCACTGTTCTTTTTTTGCTTAAGGCATGGTAGGGAATGATGTCAAGCCCCGACGAGAAAGGGGGTATTTGTTCTGGTCCTAATACCCAGGAAGGCCGGGAATTGGGTGGTCTGGTGGTCTGGAAAGAAGTTGGACCAAAGTCTTCAGCAAATGGAAGCAGTTTCGCATCCAGATGTTCCTTCGATGGGACAAATAAATACACAATTTGCCGGTCGCCTGGCAATTCTCCGTTTGGTTCGGAGCTTCACCGACATGGCTATGTCAAAAAAAAGGGGACGGGTTCCCTTTGGGGGGTTTCCTTCTGGTCTCCCTTTTGACCGACCTTTGCGGGTAGCCTCAAAGCAACAAACACCCGCATTAGCAACCAAAAGGTAGGATCGATTCAATTGCCTGTTGATGTGTCCTCCATTGACATGGCAGTTGATCAATATTCCTGTTTCCGGAAAACGCCATCTTCGCGAGAAAAAAAGTTTCTTTCGCGAATCTTTCGCGACTCCATCGCCACGCCCTTTTGTTTGCAGCGTGCGCTCTGGAGCCATTGTGGCTGCTGCAGTTATGCTTGCAAACACAGTAATAGCCGCAGTTCACTTGCGCTGGCAGGCTTGCAGTAGCGTTAAAAGAAAGCAGTCACCGTCACTCGCCCTTGTCACTTGCGCTTGCCGGGGAAGTGCGGAACCTCGCAACAAGCTCCATGGATTTTCGCCGGCCTTTCGCGGATCTTTCGCGAAACTTGCTCCAAAATAGCCCAGCCAACGTTATTGGTTTGCACCATTCCCAACACAGGAATGAGAATCAATAATGCAAGTATAAGTGCTGCGCATCTCCCTGTCTACAAGGGAGCGGGGTCTGCAAATATGCAAGTGCACAGGATGCCTCCAAGAACCCAACGCGGAATCTTTCGCGAAAAATAAAGTTTCTTTCGCGAACTCCATCGCCGATCTTTCGCGGAGGGATTTAAACAAAGACGAATGGTCACCGAATACATAACTCCTTGCAAGGACCTTTTGATCAACCCCCACATAGACCCCGAAGAAAGACATTTGTTGACGACCAGCTCAAAGGCACAAAGGTGACCTTTCTGGTGCTTGTAAAAGGGTGAAGTTCAAGTACAGTGCACGTCAAGCCTTACCAACAGTTGCTTACCGATTTGCCAGTTAGTGCTTCAAATGGCGATTTCGGGCGAACGAAAGAGCAAGCAAGCTCAGCTTCATTTCCCCATGCCTCCGCAGCTTTCCAAACCTTAGGGCTTATGATTGTAGGGATATCTATGTCTTTGGGGTCCTGGTTTTATTGTAGGGTTTATAGTTTATAGGCTTTGGGTTTAGGAACGGGTACTCCACATTTGTTTTGTATACCAAGTCCGTATGCGTGCCATCCACTAGTGGGGGCAGGTTACGAGTTAGCAGGACCAGCATGGGCCCAATGAAATCCGGGATCCTTTGGTGGCCCTGAGAAAAAACATGTGTCTCTTTCTGTAGGGGACCCCAGAATGGTGGTTTGAAAGACCAAAGAGGGGTACCCTCGACATGTCTTTGTGCAAACCGCCAGTGGCCGCGCATTATGGTTTCAAACCCTGGTGTAAAAAAAGAAGGACTCAAACCCGTGGTCCAGCTCCTCATTTTAACTTTGACCCATACCCAAATGGCCCCGTTCTTTTGAAGTCCAAATGAGGGCTCTGCTGTGCCGCCGCTGAAGCCGTGCGAGAGGATGCTGCCATCCTCAGAGAAAACGCGTTCAGGTTTCGACTCTCAAACACCCGTGGGCACAAACCCAGTAACACCTTGAGGTACCAAACCTGGCTCGCGGTAACAAACAACTTTTTGTAGGTCCAGACATGTTTATCAACAAGTTAAAGTCCAAAGATCCAACCAAATAGCCATAAAGACAAAGAGGGGTCAAACTTGAAGTAGCAAACACCCTCGCCCCAAACCGATGGTTCTATCAAGACGTAGGATTCGGCCCCATCCTCAAGCCAGAAGTACTGCTAACAGCTCTGAGTGGACACTCCTCTTTGAAACGCGCAGGCCAGAATGCTGTGCATGAGCTTCACACATTTTGTTCCGGCCCTGAGCCCAAAAAAGCTATATCAGTTTTTTGCAAGGAGCATGGGACAGCCACATTGGGCCCGGAGCTCTCAGTTCGCCTCGGCCTCGTGTGGTTTTACATGGACACCAAAAAGCCCAGAGGGTGCCTTGAGGTACCTTCTAGGTACTGGACGTGTCTAAATATCCAGGAATCCATCAGGAGGTACCAAGGGACCCTCTGGGAAAGGCCAACCGCATTTTTTTTTGGGGGGGGGGTGTCCCATTAACAAAAAAAAAAAAACATCCGAAGGCCGGAGGCCGGGACTCAAGCGCAGACATCAAGAAACCTCCAGGTCAAAGCGCCGGCCGAGGCTTGGCTGGAAGGGGGCCCCGGCAAGAAAGAATAAAAAATGCCTGGCGAGTGGAACATACAGGGGACCCCGAAAGCCAAAAGACAAAAAGGGGAGCTGAATCTGGGGAAGTCAAGTAGCAGAACCAGGTAAAAGAGAGTCTCAAAAATCCCAACATCCAAGGCGCAAGCCTATAAATTAATGAGGTCAACGAAACAGAACCAAACATCACGAGGGGCGGGGGCTCCACATCAATCCAATCAGTGACAAGTAAGTCAAACAAACGAGTGCGTTCGCAAACAAACAGTAAATAATTACGCCAATAAACAAATACCGGTACATCAAACATCTGCCCAAACACCAAACATCAGGGAAAAACAAAAAATCACGACAAACACCGAACACAACAAACAACCCAGGCTAAAGAAAAGGCCAACATTCTGAGGACAAACCAGACACATCCTATCAAACGAACATTCACCCACACAACCTAAGGCAACAAAACGACAACCCAACCAACAAACTATGCTTTACACAAAGGAACGACACAAACCAGGGCCCCCTACATTGTAATTTTGCGGGCTTCCGCTGGCTAGCATTCTCCCGATTCATCAGAAGTGAACAAACACTCCTGCCCAGAAAGTTTAACGTTCTTGCTGGTTCTCAGTAAGGAATGAGGGAATACCCCATGTTACCCATCCCCTATGATTCCTTGATTCGGGCATTTCCAACACCTGGAAGGTCGCACCAGCGAGCTTTTGTAGGCTACGCTTGGCGGGAAGTTCAAAAACACGCAGCATGGATCTGAAGTTTAATAACCCCCTGAGAAATGGGTGGACATGAATCCCAACAAACTCTGATGCCAACCACAGGGTACCCAAATAGCAGCCAACCAAACAGTCATAACAGGTTCCCCCTGAATAAACTTGGCCCCCCCCGTCCAGTTTAATGCTGGGAATCCCTGATTATTTTTTCCCCTGGTTGATCTCTTGAAGGCGGGCTCAACATGGGGTGGGGAGGGGGGGGGGTTTTGAGGGTACCCTCTTTTGTGGATTTCAAGGGAAACCAAACAAAAAAACGCACCCACTTGGATGTTCGATTCGCCAAGTTAGTAGGTGGCTAGTCATTTGGATTCTAACTGACTAACAGGCTTAACCCCACATTCATGGGGGACTTATAAGTGGGTTACAACCTCGGTTACCAACAAACTTACTTGGCACCGAACACCCTGGCCAAAAAACAAACACACACACACACAAACAAGAAACAAACACACCCACGCCCCCCCCCCCCCCTCAAAAAACAAACAAACAACAAAACACCCCTCCCCAACAAAACAAAACAACAAAACACCAGAAACAACAACAAGAGACACCCACTGGCGCAGAGACGCAATCGCTTGGCTGTGGGTCAAAAAAGGTACCCATGTAAATGGAACCAAGGACTAAAACCTGCGGTCCATATCCTGGTGGTTGAATTTTGACCCACACCCACGCCCCCTTAAAAAAACAAAAAAAAACAACAAACAAACAGAGGCACCCAGCACCGGCGCGTTCGAGGCGGAAGCAAGCGCTTGGGTTCCCGTGCTCCCATCAAGGTCCGCTTGGAGAAGCCCCTCGCCGCCACGGCGGTGCAGGTCACGTGTAGCAGGTTCCACCTCGAGACGAAAAAGACTCCCCGGAGTCGGGGGGACCCCTTCCTTGCATTGTTCCCCCGTGTTTGCTGTGTTATTTTTTTTGGGGGGGGAAACCAACAAAAACCACGACCTCATGGTTTTTGGTCGTGTTGAATGTCTTTTTCTCTTTTATGTTTTGCTGTTCTTTTTGTTCTGGGTGTTTTGACTTGGCCTTCAATTGAGAGCTCAGTTTTTGGGCCACGTGCAAGCCTGCTCAAAGCACCACACGTCATGTGCCTGTTGTGGGGTTGCATTCGGGGATGGTCAGAAGGGTTGTTTCTAAGGGTTGGCTTTGCCAGCTTTACGAACGCCCCCGGTTTTCCAAAGGCTTTTAGCTATGGGGACATTGACCTTTTCCTGCGAAAGGCTAACACCCTCCACGTTCGGCCAGGGGTTGTTACCCAGCTTTTGCTCCGGATTTTGTTTGCCTCCAAAATTGTCTCGTGCTAGACATGTCCTTGTTCTTTTTCTTCAAGGGATTGTTGGGTTGGCTCTTTGATGAGCTTTTTCCCGTTAGCCAGGGGTTGGATTTGAGAGAAGCCCGACAAAACCGACCGCAAATTGGAGGTTGGACACCGGAGGGAACTGCCAATGTCGAGGTTGCCCCAGAAAACAACAACTTGATTTCTTGGGGAAAGGAAGGAACCAAACAAAACGAATGGCATCTCCTTTGGCCGTTTTTGACCCATAGGTTGACCCAAAAGCTCACAACCGCTGCTGGCCTTCAAAATATCCGGGCGCGAAAGTCTGGAAGGGCCCATCCTCCCATTCGAAACCTCCACTTAAAGGGGGGTACTTAGAAACTAGTTCGCAAGCTTTGCTTTAAGCCATTTAGGAGACTTGTATGGTAAGTGGGTTATAACCATGTTTATTACCCACTTAACTTAGTACCATGCCCCTTTAAGCAGTTGACCGCAGGTTTTGGTCCATATTTCTACTTCCCAGGGCAGCCCATTTTGGGGTTACAATATGTTGGGTTCATTACCCCCTAAACTTAGTACCATCCCCGAAAAAGCACCCTGGTCACCGATCCGAGCACGTGGCAAGTTGCAGGTGCTGCTGGTTGGGCAGGTCAGGGACTGAAGCGCAGACGTATTGCCACCTTGGGCTCGGCTATGGGCAGACCAGCAGCTGATGTATACTTGGGAGGGAGATACCTGGATCATAGTGTATATCATATACATGTTGATATATGTAATTTTACGCTTTGGTATGCTATGTGTATGTGTATGTGTTTGTCAGTCTGCATTTATGTACGCATGTCTGTCTGTATGTATGTCTGTATGTATGTCTTTATGCATGCCTGCATGCTTCCCCCCCCAAAAGTTTGGTTTTCGCCTTGTAGAGCCAGCGAAGCGAAAAAACAAAGACACCGGACCTGTAAAAAGTGGTTCATGCGCGCCAAACGTATCCCGGAAAAGGGGATTCGCTTGGCAGAAATCGACCAGAGACTCAGCTCATGAGTGGACTGGCCAATAGAAGTCTAGCTTCTTTGTGTGCCACTAAAGTTGTCTTCCAATAGCGAACCCAGGGACTGAGGAGATAGAGCACTCGAATTCAAAGTGCTTCATTCAAATCTGAGAGACCAAAATCCCCCGTAAATGCAGGGTAGCAGTGGATGCCATCTTGTGGTCGTTTTATTGCAACAAACAACAGACACCGGCACCATCGCGAGCGGGTTGCCGATACACTCGTCGCCTGTCAAATGCTGTCGAAGTGCTCAAAAGGTCGCTTCATGTCGTCTTGCTCCAGGCAGAAGAATCTTGACCAGTAAAAACTGGGTGATATATGAATGGGGCTGAGCGGCTGAACAAACATATACCCACTGCCCTTTTGGTTTCCCGCTGGGTGAATCAAACAGAAACAATAATAGGCTATTTAGTACCCAGTGAAAACAATTTGTCTACTCGCCGCTGAGAGTCGTGCCGTGGAACAATGGCCATGACCGCCCTTGGTTTATCGGTTGTCTTACCAAGCTCTGCAAAACACCACTTTCTCAGTGGACTTGTCCAAAACAAGTCTAGACTTGTTATGTATCCCTAAAAAAGGTACCCCCAAAAAGTGACTAACATCCAGGAACCAAACCCAACAAGTGACAAAAGTCCGAAACACACCTCAGGGAGTGAGATACAGCATCGAACAATTCTGTCAGGTTCGAATAAACAGGTCCCGAAAAATCTGGCAAGTGGATTCCGAAGGACCACCTCCGTCAATTTGTCCAGTGGAGGTCCAGGCCAGGATCGCAGAACATCTACCTGGAGTCTCTATGCCCCTTAAAAATGGGGTCACTACCCAAAATAATGGGGTCATGACCCCATTTTTAATGGGTCACGGAGACTCCAGGCACTGAAGCCCTCTCTGAGCTGAGGCCAGTTCCGGGTTTTCCTGAAGGAAACATCCCCACTCCCAACTGGGAAATGCGTGAGATAGTTCCATACATTTCTCTTGCACCCACTTAGGAAGGACACTTAGGTATTTGTTGGCCAGGTTCGTAAGTTGTTGGCGACCTAGGTTGTAGCCCACTGAAATCAGTCCTCCGAACTACGGTTCGGTCTGCTAGTCGGGTAGAACCCAGGGTGGCGATCCCCGAACCACCAAGCCTCCAAGTCTATTGTGGTTCTGCTCCCTCGCTTCCATACAAAACAGACAAGGCCAACCCTTGGATCTATTCATCTTCTCTTGGGTTCAGACATAGGCAAGCCCTTGCCCAGAGGGTCCCTTGGTACCTTATGAGGATGGCTTTTGGGGGGTAAGAAGGGGTCGTTCAGTACCTCCTTAGAAGGTACTAACTTGGACCCTCTGGGTTGGTTCCCTGCGCAAAAAAATACAAAAACAGACACCAAAGGGCAACCCTTCGACTTTTTTTCTCTCTTGGGTTCAAACATAGGCAAGCCCTTGGTTCCTGCGCGAAAACCAGGTCAAATCCACGAGCCTGAGAGCCCCACCGATCAACCTGTGCACCAGGCCGCTCTTGGGCTCCTGCGAGCTGCTCGGGTGGGATGGTCGTAGCCCGGCGCCCGTCCGGCGCGCGTTCGAGCATAGCACCCTTCCCCACGTATTACGTGGGAAGGTACCTGGAGTCTCCATGACCCTTCAAAAATGGGGTCATTACCCAAATTGAAAGGGTCATGACCCCTTTTTCTAGGGGTCGTGGAGACTCTAGGTACCCAGAGAACACATAAAATAGTGTTCCGGGTTGGCGGTTTCCATTTACCTTCAAAACAATCATGACCTGTTAGTGGGAGTCCTGGTGTCCGAATTATTCCTCTCCCAGGAGGGGCTCTCTCCAGATTTCGCCAAGTGCAAAACATCCCCCCGTCCAAATACAAAACTCACTGTGAAATGGACCAGGCGCGATCCGAACCATCCAAACAACTTGCGATCGGTGCGGGAGATGTGATCGGGGCCCTCAGACGTGAAGTCTGACCGCAAGAAAAACCATCCCTTGCTGGTGGTGTCCTCTATTCGCGGACCAAAGCCTGGGTTCCTTCCATGTCTCATTCCCTGCTTCTCGCACCACATACAAAGATGAAAATCGAGTTGACTGATTTCCCCTTCACATGAGAATATAGGCTCCGATTGAAGTCATCTGCACATTTCCAGGGGCTGGAAATAGGTGGGGAAGCATCAAACGCGAATCATGCTTAACTCTTCTAGATTTGTGACTTCCCTGCCTTCAAGCCCAACACCAGTACCAGAGTCAGACACTCCCACTGGTGCATCTAAAGCCGCGCCGCGCAGCCCCTGCCTGTTTTACTTGGTTTGGCTAAGTAGAATATCCGGGACCCACGCATTTCCTGGGTGAGATTCCATGGCAATGTGGGGAGGGTACTCTCTCTCTTAACTTCAAAAAAGTACGCAAGGTTCCGCATCACTAGCAACAAATGAAAGCCACGCGTGCCAGGGTCTTCGATCGACCAGGCTTGGGAAGCTCCCCTACTAGAAGCGCCCTCTTCATCCAACGCTAAAGGCCAGCCTGGCGCCTTTCAATCGTCCAACTGTTTTGATTTCGACCCTAAAGCACCTGTAGCCGAACTGGTGTTGGAGGCGGGGGGGGGGGGGGGGGCAACAGCTGACCCCACACGGCCACGTTTTCCTTTTCTGTTTGCGGCAGGCGGAGTTTGGACAACCCCAAGTACACGTAAACCCGGTGTTCCCCTTGGGGAAATGAGAACATTCCTTGGGTTTCAGGCTACCTTGGGTAGTGCAAATTGAAATCCTGGGCCCAAAAGGTTGAGCGGAACTCGGACATGCGGGGGATTATTTCCGTCTCGGAATCAACAAAGCCCCCGACAGTTTATATGATGTCTTTGTTGTGTCTTGTTTTGGGTTCTATGTCAACACACGTCAACGGCTTGGCGAAGCAAAGCATAAGCTTGTTCCGCACCACCGGAAGAAAAAAAAAAATCCCCAAGAGCTTGCAACTCAGGGAGAGCGTTGGTTTGCGGGAGAGTCTCCGCCGTCCGGAAGGCGTGCGTTTTTTGGGGCCTTTCAGGAAGGCCGCCGAGCTGCACGAATCTTTACCGTGCAGCTGAAAGGAGAGCCGAGTCTCGGATGCCCAGTGGATTTCCACGGGGAAGAAAAGGGCACCTGGACCCTTAAACTCCCCATAAAAATGGGATATCACCCCATAAGTTTGGGGGTCAAACCCATTTTTAAGGGAATTTTGAGGGTTCAGGCACCCTTTCTGGTTGGTTGAGCTGAAAGGGGAACCCTTAACCCAAAAAAAAAGTTGGAAAAAAGGAAGCAACCCACTGGGCAACAGAGGAATGGACAAGTCACACGCAACATGCAGGGGTAAACGAAAGGCTCCTTTCAGAACGTGGAAAAAGCTCCACGGAAAACTGCTCCAGTCCTCGTAGGAGGCATCGCTGGCGTCAAAGCTAGGGTCGCCCAGGCCTACCTAAGTCCGATTTCGGGGGAACATCCGATGCTCATAAGTCTCAACAGGGAACCCCAGAAATGCGGGCCTTTCCTTTGGCTTGCCCGACGCTTGGGGAGTGATTCGATTTCTCCACTTGCATTTGCTCGGGGTTGCTTCCTCTTGAGCTTTCCACCCAAATTCCGGCCATCGAAAGCCCTCCTGACACTCGAGAGCTCACTGACAAGCGGCTTCTCATGGCAAAAACACGGTCGACTCGTCGACTCGAAAGGGAACCAGGGCAAGTGTTCTTTATATGTTTTCCCTCATAAACACCGTCTATTGCGCAGGTTTTGCAACTCCCCTTTTGCTGGTTGGGTTCCTTGCTTCTGCAACTGGGTTCAGAACTGGAAGGAAGGCACGAGCCCACCATGTGTGTTGTGCCAACAGGTAGCACGACTAAGTGGCAACAGCAAACAAAACCAGCTTCCCTGGTTTGGATTGGAGGTTTCGGGCGGAGGGTTCCCATTTGGCCCTTTTACGGGGGCCTCTAATTGATGGTTTGGAGCCCGGTGATTTGGAGCTTTTGGGGGGAAGCTGTAAAATACCGCAAAACAAAATCAAGAAACTACCAATAGGAAAACACCGGGGAACACCGGAAAACACCGGAAAAAAAAAAACGGGGGGGAAAAAAAAAAACAAAAACACGGACAACAACACGGGGAAAAAACCGGAAAAACCGGAAAAAAAAACAAAGCGGCAGGAAGTGTTGGGTTCTGCCATGAATGGTTTAAACAGATCCTTTCCGGGCCTTCAATGGCCGCCATCTTGGCGCCCTGCACTGCCCATGTGGTTGCTGTTGACCCCTCTGCAAAGGTGATTTTGTGGGTTCAATTGAAAAACCCAAAAGAGCTCAACCCAAAAAAGAGAGTCTCAAACGCAGTGCGTTTGAAAGGGTAGACATATGCGCCAGAAGGAAAACACCGAGCACCCTTTCTATCAATCTTCTACCTAAGGTTGTTTGGGCATAGGTTTAAAGCAATCTTGAAACACTACTTTCCTCTCTATAGGGTACCTGGCTGCTTCCGCGTTAGCTCAAATGCGGTCTTGGCCTGTTTGAAGTCACCCTAGGATCTAAGCGTCGATCCACACTTCTTTCAACCATCACTCTTTCTCAAACATTGGCCGTGTCCTTGGACTTTCTTGTGGCTTTTCCGGAAAGGAGCAGCACTGCAAAGCATGGGGAAGGTACCCGCCTCAATCCCCCCCCACCAACGAACGCCGATGATTTGTTGACTTTCAGAAGGGCGGGGTGGGGTACTTTGAGGCTGGGAGACTGCACCCTTGTCCTAAATCAGGGCTGGAGAAATGGCAGTGGCTCAAAAAACCGGAATTCCACAATGGAACCCTGGTAAGTGGAAAAATGGACCAACACCTGCGGTTTGCCCCTCCTGGTTAATTTTGAGCCACACCCAAATAGCAAAAAAAAAAACATCGCCTTTTAGTTTCCTTTTGGGACATTTCATAGCCATTGATCGCACCCAGTTGTAATACAAGCGGCTGAGCAATGAGTAGCTACTAACAGTATTTGCCCATGGTCATGTCCTCCATTTGCTCAAGTCCCCTGGACACAAATGCACATATTACTTCCAGTAGTATATAATAGCTTCCGTTTAAGCCAAGACGCGAACATATTTTACGCACACATACAACAAAAACAACAACATAAAAAAGAAGAACTACAACCACGAATGGAAGCAAGAAACTCAGCCCTTGTCAGCTTTTTTCCTCAGTTTGGTTTGGCCGCTTTGCGGCCATGTGGACATCCGTAAGTCTTTCCAAGTGACCAAATGGCAGGCTCAAAAAACCGGTACCAAAATGGAACCCTGGTAAGTGGAAACATAGACCAACGCCTGCGGGCCCCTCCTGTTTGATTTGAGCCACACCCAAATGGAGTCAGCAAAGGTGGTCCAAGGGAGGGATTCGCAGAGGTTCCCTCAGGATCCCTTAAGGAACCCAAGTGAACCCTAAAAAATCCAAAAGGCAACCCTACAGCTCTCAACCCCCGTACCTTCCCCTTTTTTCCTGCAATGGGACATCATCCCAAAAGGAAGCCACCAAGAAGATTGGCCCAAGAGTCCACCCAAGAGGTGACGTATAACCAAGAAAATGTCGACTCTTTCCAAGCGACTCTTCGAACCGAACCCGAACTCACTACCCACCCCGCTACCCCCCTATCCCCCTATGCCCCTCCACCCCCCTATCCCCCTACCCCCCCCCTACCTACTCTGCTTAGAGATTGCAATCACCTCTCCGACCTCTCCGAGTTCAAAAGTTCCAACCAGCGGCTTCCCCGACCCCCGCCGGACCGCTGGACCGCTGGACCGGTGACTCAATTGGACCGGTGACCCTGGAAACAAAAAGAATTGGAACCAATTCTTTTTTGGGCTTGGACCACTTTAGTGGGGCAGCCACCAACAAAAAGTTGGAAAAAGAATTGGAGCCACTGAACAACTGAGGTGACTCCTTCCCTCCCGCCGCTTCGTTCGCTTCCGCTTCGGTCAAAGGGCATCGATGGACCAGGAGGCGATGACCTTCTGCGCCTTCGTCCTTGGTTCGCTCCGATGCCGATCCCTCCGATCCCTCCGCTCGAAATGATTTGGGCGTAGCCTGGTTCATTGCAAACCCCCGGGCCAGTGAGCTGGTACAAACCTGCCATTTGCGGAATTCAGCCCCCGCCCCTTTTTTTATGGGTAGTTTGAGGGTCCAGGTAGACAACTCCCCAAAAAGAAAAACGAACCTCCATTTGCTTATGCCCCCTGGACAAAATGAGCAAATATGTCCTCCAGGGATAGATTCCCTTTCAAACCAAGGGGGAAAAACAAAAACAAAAAAACACATTCTTGAGCAAATGACAGAAACCCTGCAGTTCAGTTGCCACCATTGAACCAATGCTTGACCTAAGGATTTTGGTCCAAACCCACCTTTAAAACAATGGTTTGGGTGAATGTAACCACGTCAACGTTTACCCTTCAGCCTTCAGGATTCTCAATTATCATCATCCTTGGGCCTTTCTTTGTCCCCCACACGTCTGCAACTGGTTTAAGTCTACCTTGTTGTCACAAAATGGCACTGCCTCAAACAGGCCAAGCCAAGGCGAGCGGTCAGCGAGGCTTCGGTTGGGGACCACACGCGCTGCGTTTGGCGGAGTTGGGGCCTCTCAGGACCCTTGGGGGTTTGGATCCTCCCACGTTAGCGTGGAGAACTGAGACTTGGAAGACCCTCTGGGTATGGCTCAAAAACCGGAATTCCAAAATGGCTTGCCCTGGTAAGCGGAACCATGGACCAAAACCCTCTTTAATTTTGAGCCACTGCCATCTTCCTGTGAAGGAGACCCTGTGGCTTGCATGGCACCGTGGGTCGGTGGCTAGTTTCCAACAGACCTCAGAAAAGGCTCGAACCCAAACAATTGAGCTCATGATGTTCATGTATAGCACGCATATCTTTTCCGCATTTCGTATGTGTTGCGACCATCGGACCATTGCTCCTATATTGCCGCAAGAAATCACATGGACTTTGGGCAAAAGCGACGGCTCCAAAGAGCGGAGCACAGCTTTGCCAAGCAGCGGCAACAGGTTCTGCCCGTGCTTCTCCAGTGAGTCTGCCTCAAATTCGGATTTTCTGCAGAAGAATCAGAACGAGCTTTAAACGGGGAAAGGAGAAGATCACTTTGACCAGTTGGGCTAGATCCAATCCATTCACCTTGTGAGACAAATGAAAAACACATTATTATGCTTATGCTTTTAAAAAATGGTAGGTTCCCTTGTGGCTCTATCAAAGTTCCCCATGTCGTTTTCCGCGGAAACTCCCCCAAGACGTGGAAAACACTTCAGGCTGCCAAAACCGATGCCTGGCCTAAGGATCCATTGCAGAAAACAGAAAACTGTTTTCCCCTGTGACGCGTGCTGAAAAACTCGATCCTCTTCAGTGAGTCACGGTGATTTCGTTACGCACCGAAAAATCTATTTTCTGAATTCCCTACGTAAAGGGTTCAGGATCATCCATACCAGGGAACAACTTAAGCCTTAAGTCTCAACAATCAGACGCTAAACTCAGTTGTTCAGTGACCCTGGAACAAAAGGGAACCCTTTTTTGGGCTTGGACCATTTTAGTGGGGCAGCCACCCAAAAAAAGTTGGAAAAATAATTGGAGCCACTCAACAAGTCAGTAAAGGGAACCAACAGGAGACTGTTGAAACAAGAGGTGTCTGACAAGGGTTTGGCCCGTGACCCAAGGGTCACAACTGATCATCGACCTTGGGCCCGCACAAATGTGACAGCTTCTTGCTGGTTGAAAGGGAACATGATGGGCCACCCCCCCAAATATATATATATATATATAGAATACAAACAACATAAAACCGAGTCGCACTTTCTCGGTAAACGGGGACACATTAAACTGGGTGGTTGCCCTTTGGTTTCCTCTCGAAGTCGCAAAAGGTTGACACAATCAAACAACAAGACTGACTTTTGACATTTTCTTTTGCTGGGGCGGGGGGGGACACAAAAACAACCGACGCCAGGGTCAGCCGTCAGGTGCCCCCGATATTTTCAGACAGAATCGGGGCCCCGGCCAGGCGCGCCAGTTCTTTGCCCTTCACCGGAAAGGCCTCGATCCATGGGAGGTTCGGGATTCAAAGTCACACGAATAGAAAAGAGCCACCCAAATCAAGCAGGTCCTTGCCCAGAAACAACCAGGGCTTTGGGAACTCTGGGCTTTCTTTGGTCACGCAATCTCATATGGCTCAAAAACAAAACTGAAGAATGGCTTGCAAGCAATGGTCAACAGACCACGATTCCTTTACTCGGGGTTAATGTTGTTGTGCTTTTCATATGAAACTGTCCATGGGACTTTTGGACTTTTGGACTTTTGGGAAACCGTCTCCAAGCGAAACCGCAGCCCCGGGCCAACCCCCATTTGGGGGGAGATTCCCAAACGTTCCACAGAAGTGGTTGGGCAAACCCCGAGGGAGCAACCACAACCCCGCAATAAAATGACTTGTTGGTATCCGTAGGGACTGAGACCTGGAATGAGAACCGGTCTTTTCCGATTCCCGAATATTCAGGAAGCTACCAGTCGGATGAACCTCTTCCCAGGTATCATTCAATTTCTCCTTCCCCGAGCACCAGCAATTTTTGGACCGGGAATCCAGCGAGCCCGAAGCCCCGGACGAACCCAAGCCGGTTGGAAGGGCCAATTTTTGTTGCAGGCGTTGCCTGTTTTTCCCCAAGTGAGTCACTGGGTTTCCCCTTTGTGGATTGGCTCCAATCAAAACACATCACTTTGAGAACCTAAAACTTATCCCTGTTCAATGAGTTCAAGCGTTAAGACCTGATCTCGCCCACACAGGCCGCAAATCCAGGAATTTGCAAAAACACAAAAAAACTCAAAAAAAACACAATCCAAAAAACTCAATCTGAAATAATCTGAATCTGGGAAGACTCAAGAACAACTCAAAAAAAACTCAAAAAAAACTCAATCTGAAATAGTCTGAATCTGGGAAAACTCAAAAGAAACTCAAAAAAAACTCAAAAAAAACTCAAAAACAACTCAAGCAACAACTCACATCACAAGTAAAAACTCAAAAACAATTCAGTCCATTCCCAAGCACGAGTGAACACCTTCTCCCTACCTACAACCTAGAATGCAGCAAGACGGCCAGTGGTATTGTGTCAAGCCACACAAACAAAGCACGCATTCCACTGATTCCACTGGCACTGTGCATCATGCGAAGCTTTCATCACTGTGAAAATGACTGCGCTACGTCACATGCTGACAAATGAACGCCAGCATGGCATAATCGAATCTGAAACAAACAAACCTGCTCTGAAAGACACGCGCTCTGGCTGAGTCAGACTCTAGCTCTGTTATTTTCGCCTCGGGATCCAATCTGTAAAGTCTGTGGGCTGTGCCCAAATTGCTAAAAACCAGCTGCGTGCCCGTTGCAAGATTGCAAAGCCCAAAGCAATGCGAGGAAAATGGGGCAACGCTACAGAAGCTGCTCAGCCTTAGACAGGAGCCCAGGCTGGACACGCTCCCTCTTGACTTTGCCACACGCCAACAACAAGTTCTGCGCCCGCACTGTTGACACTGCACGGGATTTTGTGCGGCACGAAAGGGCGTGGTACAAACACCCCTCGCAAAAGAGAACAAAAGATGTGCTGGTTGTTTCCTGCAGCTGACCCAAAACCTCACGAAGCCGATCCCACTCAGGAGGCGCCCCGCCAAGGACCTCCGTCAAGGGGGCGAAAGTCTTGATGAAGTCAGCGGCTGCGCTCTCCTCCTGAAGGTTTCACTCTTCTTGCAGCTACTTGCATTTGAATGGTTCTAGCGGCTAGCGGCTAGCTACCCGGTACCCTGGCTGCTTGCGAAGTCATGACCCTGAGTCAGCCTGAGTCTTGACTGGTTGTTTTTAAAACCCGGAAGCAACAACCCTAACAGCCCTAACAATACAAGGAATGAAAGGATGACGCCGGTCACATCTCAATCGCTGGCAGCCAGAAAAGGGGTCCTAGAAAGGAACGACTCAAGACAATTTCGCGCCCAAGTCCTCGGGCAAGCTGACCTGTAGCAGCTCCCCAAGACGCTGGCCGTCGACTTTCTGCAGCGTTGCGGAAGCCTGCTTGAGCACCCAGTCAACGTCAAGAGCCTTGTCTTCAGGAATGCTTGCCTTCCAATCCTGCGCGCCGCCCATCTCATATCCAGCCCAAACCTGCTGCAGATCATCCTGGAGGCCAAGCAAGTTCTTGCGCATTGCCTCGCACTTGGTCTTGACCGCTGACATCAAGATCTCGGCGTCAAGGTTCTCATAGTGCTTGGGAATGGCTGATCTGCGCGGGTCATTTTCTGGCAGGCTGCTCAACTCCTCTGCTGCAGGCAAGTGCTCCGTGAGAAGCTGACGGCGGCGCTTGTGAACACGCTGGAGCATGTTCGCACAAGCTTTCAACTGTGCGTTGCCAGGGTCCTTTTGCATGCGGTCCGCGCTGGTGGAGGCAAGCTTGCCGTACCTGTCGCAAAGGGCTGCGTATTGGGTGGCAGACTCTGCCAGCTCCAGCGCGGCACGCATGAAGCCTGCGGCCGCGTGCTCGGTCATCTCAATCAAGCCCGTGAGGCCGGGCACGAGCACGGCCTGGAAGTCGGCAGGGGACAAAGTAGACTTCTTCACCTAGAGCGTTGCACATTCAAGCGAGAGCGCAGCTAGGACAGTGACAAGACAGTAGCTACAGCTTAAAAAAGAACAGTGACTTGCTCTGGGCGTTCGACTCTGCAAATCAAGAGAACGTCGCATCCCGCAAGTCTACCTCTACAGTCAAGTGCAAGGTCAAGTCTGGAATGTCTAACGACAAGTGTCAAACGTCAAGGTTCAACATCCTCACCGCCCTAAGTAAGTCGGACCCGGCCTCGTCCTCAAAGTGGCAGAAGACCACACCAACAGAATTATCCACCTCCGTCTGGAGCTCAGCGTCAAGATCGTCAGCGCCGAGTTGGCCCAAGTGCTGCTTCAACTGCCCCCAGTCCAGCGGGGCGTCGCCTTGAAGACCTTTCAAGAAGGCAACCGCCTCCAGCTTTGCAACCTCGCCAGCCTTTGTCGAGTGCCAAGCTTGCAGCCGCTCCTGGAGATCTGCCAACTGGACGTCTGACCCGACCATGGGCTCGAGCAACTGCAGAAAGGGCAAGAGCAAGTCAACTGGAAGGTTCTCGAGAGATTGGGAATTGACAATGACTTTGATGGCTGGGGGGATGCGCTTCTTCAACGAGTCCTCCAAGCCATCAGTCGCTGAGGGCCTGAGCTTGGTTTGCAGCTGCGGGAGCAGCCGCAGAATTTCCACCAAGACCTTGATGTGGAAGCCGATATCCTGGTCAACAGGGCTGTGCTCCAGCTGCGCAATCAAGTCGTGGGAACTCTTCAACTTGGGAAAGAACTCCTTGGTCGTGCCAGCGAACTTGTTTGCCTGGTCTAAAGCCTCCTGCCAAAACGGCTTTGACACCAAGCATTCGTGCACAAGGCCCTCCAAGATCTCGCTGCCCTTGTACGAAGAGAAAGGCAGCACAGCTTCAACGCTGAGTCCACAAGCCTCTGGAATTGGCACCAGCAATGTGAGCCAACAGCTTGTTGCCTTCATGCAGCGCTCACTCACCTTGACAACGGGATCTGGCAAGCTGGACCAGTCACCCTCACACCTCTGGCAGGAAGCGAACATGTCACGCAAGGCTGTGAGAAGCGCGGCCAAGGTCTCCTGACTTGCGCCCCCTTTGCCTTGGACTTCTTGAACCAGCTGCACAAAGCCGTCGTTCAAGAAGAAGTTGAGCATGCTGTCCCCCAACGCCTGCCAAAGACACGGGTGACCAGTGTGGGCATGGAAAGGCGAAAGGTGCCTGAATCATTACCTGCTGGCCCAAAACCCTCCTTGCCTTCGCCTGCGCGAGACACTCATCCGTCTGCTTCTCGGTGGACACCTGCGACATCTCATCCAGAAGCTGCGCCACCAAGCAAGCCACCTTTGGGTGGAAAGGGTCGAACTCATCTAGCTGGGTAGCGGGATCGTTGCTGAGAGGCGACAGCATCTCGGCATACCTGTCAATCGCGGCTGCTACCTCGGCGTTGCCCTTGGCATCGGCAATGTCCCTGAAAGCTTTGTTGGCATGCAGCTGAAACAAGTAGATGTTGATGCGGAACGGCAGCTCAATGCCGGCAGCCAGCAGGCCACAAACCGCCTCCTTGACACGGGCGGGGTCTGCGGAGCTTGGCTGCTCGCACGCCTCTTGCAGGGACGATGCCCAGCCACACCGCTTCAGCCGATTCCGGAGGACCACTGCTTGGGCTGCCTTCGCGTCCTCCAATGTCTTCAGCACACGGTTGGCCTGTCAAGGCTGTGATTGCACAGCAGAGTCTCCCCGCAGTGACAGTCATAATAGTCATAGTCTGGTTGTGGCTAATACGTCCATGTCGAGTCCATGTAACTTCTCACGCCCCAACCAACTTACCCCCCGCGCCTGGAAGATAGTGCGCCCAAGCCTCTCCTCAAAGCAGCTCTCAACCTTCAACCGGAAAAAGCACTCCGGCACGAACCCCAGGCGTTGCGCCGCCGGCACCAGGTCTGGGTCGCTCTCCTGCAAACCGCTGTCGGCAAGCGATCTGCGGTCTCCGTAGTTGTTCTTGTCACTTCTGCCAGCATCTGACAAGCCCGACCTCATGCTTTGGTGGTCTCCCTCAACTTGCTGGGCTTGCTTTTTGACGGCAGCCTTCCTCGTTACCTTCTTAGCGGCAGCGGTTTGGCGCCTGGCCATGCTACCCAACGCAACGCCAGGCTCGTAGACGACAATGTCATCGCCCTGTTCAGCCTCGGTTGGCTCGCCTGGCTTTCCATCAGGGTTGCCTTGGCCTTGCTTAACCTCAAGCCGGGCAAGCTCTTTGGCGGCCTTGGCCTGCAAGTCGGCGAAGGTGAACAGGTGATGGAATCCGCCACTTTTGAGGCCAGTGTCCCTCTGCTGAACATCAGCCTGCACTGCGAAGTTGAACACGACCGAGCCCTGCTCCTGCGCCAACTGATCATCTGGGCAAAGCAGCTTCTCGCTGTGCATGAGATGCTGCGTGGTCCATACTCGCGT